TTCTTTTTTGTGGTTGAAGGAGCATTTGAAACATCTAGAAATCCTACTGAATCACAAAGATGTTTGCCAAGGCAACAAACAGAACATTGAATAGATGAGACATATTCAGTGCTAAGGAAAAAAAAGCAGGTTAAAGCTGCAATAAACCATAAAGCTTCAGGCATATAAAGGTTAAATAGAGAGAGATTATTTCCCTTCCTTAACCAAATACAAACTGTAAACAAGCTGATACTGCAGCATGTTCACAGCTGAGGAGATCCTGGCATCCATGAACCAAGGTACGAGCAACCAAGGGTGAAGACCTACTCCTGAACACAATTTACTATTTGGGATATCCTTTTCTAGCATGCTCATTAATTCTTCCATGTCTTCCCTTCCTCTCTGGAGCTTGGGCCATTTCCCAGAGGGTGAACTTTGTGCCTACCAGCCTCAGCACACAGCCTATATACCACATTGCAATTATCCACTTCTCTTGCCTACAGCATGTTTGAATTTCAAATGTGCTTTTCCACTTGGTTTTGAGACAAGCGTGGCATCATTTTCTACAGGAATTTCATAATATGAGATTTCTTTCTGATATTCAATTCATCAAAAAGGAGATGACAATGAGAAAAAAAACCAGCCTGATGTTGAAGGAAAATAAAGAAAACCCAACCCTTTTGTCTTGTGCAGCTACTCAATGGAAGACGTTTACCATCCAGTCTTGACTCTTCCCCACGCTTCTGAACTCTGCTGCCAGCAGCAGCTCTTTGCTTCTCGCTCCGTCCTTCTCCTTCTGCAAATATTGCCTAGCAGCAGCTCTATATGAGCTTTTGTCAGTCCTCAGGGTGTCAAATGAAGGACAAAATTCATTGACGTACTGCTGTTTCCCAATTTCTTTTTTGCTAGCAATGGTGAATATTCCAGATATTGTAGAGGATTTTAGGATAAGTTGCTAAACGATGCTGAGCATGTAAAGCTGGCCTTTTACAAACTGTATACTTAAAACTTTGGGGGGAAAAAAAAAGTTTATGTAAATACTAAATAAATATTCACTAAGTGACAATAGAGCCAGGAGGTCAAACTCTGTCCTCATCATTGACGATAAAAGAGTAACAGACGTCAGCTACCATATTTGTACATTCAAAATCAATTTTATTTGGCAGCAGACTTGGTTTTTGATAACACCTTTTTTTGATTGTGTTTTATTTGTTTGTTTTTCATCTTTTAAACACTTGGCACATGCAAAGACAGGAAGCTCTGTCTGCTATCAAAACTATTCTAGAAAGGGAGAAGCATGGATGTGTTATGTACTGCCAGGGGCTGGGAAGCTGGGTTCCGAGGCTATAATCCTGGCTTTGCTACTGACTCAGTGAGTGACCATCACGTAATCTCACTGATTCCCTGCAAATGACAGACCATATTCAGCTACCTCCCAAAGACACTGTGGGGCAAGGAAAGTTTGGCCTTACTTATTCTGAATTCAGGTAGGAAAGAAGTTCATGCCTAAACGTCATTAAAATCTATGTATCTTAATCTGTTCATTTCACTTATTGGTATATGGCTTGCAATGCTCTTGACACATTCAGGTATCTTGGGTAACTATTCAGACTGCTGCTTTTTTCTTTGCATACATATGCTTTGTGCTGTATTTGCATCAGTACGTATTTTTCTCAAAACTGCAAGAAAAGATTGCATGCATAAATGTGAAAATTTCCCATATGGACGCAAGATGAGCAGAGCTGACTCTTGGCAACGGTTTTAAATCAAGTCAATTCCTGACAAAATATATGAGAGGGTCTTGAAATTTGTCTTCAGCTTGCAAACAACTTCCTCTAATTAAACGGAGGTAGAATTATTCTGTTAAATTCTAAAGAACTGTAAATGTTTGTTTCTTTTCTAATCTAAGGACCGCAAAGACAACATCTGAACAAGAATGCTGTTGATGCACATCATTTTCCTGACTCTGCTCATGGTCAGGTACTTGTTATTGTCCAGACCTCTGTCGAGTAGCCGAATTAGTGACATTTAAGATGATTCTGAGAAGCACATGAGCTGCAGCCACGGTTTGTAACGCTCCTGTCTAAGACAGAATACAATCATACTGCAAAACAGCCTTAAATAAAATACAAGGGAAGGGGTAAAGCAACAAATATCCCACACCTTGCATCATCCCTGGAAGCTAGAAGCAGTACAGAACAGTACTAATAGATAGATGCTCAGCATGCCGGCAGAGTGAAAAAACTAAATTCATGATGCTGCATTTTCCTCTTTTGCATAACCAAGATGTTGCAGGGTCACACACAAAGTTTCCATCGCAAGCCCAAATCATCACCACCTCACACGTACAGCTTATGTCAGTACACAGCATATATCTGAATAAGGTTTTGAAAAGACAATTCACAACACATTAGCATACGCGCTCTCTCACTAGTGTTCCTACAAACAAAATGGATCCCTGTTGTACTGGAAGTCTGACCACTGCAATGCAATAGATTTTAAATAAATCGCAGAGCCAGGACCATATTCCCTATATGTTGAAAGAGTCTAAGTGCTGATAACAATCAAACAATATTCATTTACATTTTGTTTCTCACAGGCCTCCACCTGCAATTTGTTGATGGCCTTCATTTTCCAGAGAAGTCAACACAAACTGACAGGGCTCTGCACCTTTTACGAGATGGACACATCTTGCAGTAGGAAACCGGTATTTCTTCACTAACGTAAGCGATAGATTATATATATATATACACATATGTATATGAGAGTGTGTATGTGTATACATATATATAATCTACTGTAGATGATGCATTCTGCACAGCATGTGCATGTATACACACACATATAAACAAACTCCTACTTGGGTTGCTGTCTCATGCAGAAGGAGCAAGAGGCAAGATGCGGCTGACCTAGCCCCCACCCATGCCATCTGAAGGGAAGTTTAGGGTGAAACCCAAGCGCTTGTTTATGTAACATCGAGCATTCAGCCGCAGTAAAAAGGAGACTGGACTGAGGGCCAACAGTGAGTGTCTGAATATTAAAAAGGAACAAAAGTAAACATTAGTATTTTCTAAGCAAAGATAGCTAGTGTTTTCTAGATCTGAAAATCTGGTCAGCAGCCTGTATCACCATACATTATTACTAACACGCATACAGCCTGAGTCTGCCTACGTCAAGTCGGGGGTATGCAGCACTCTGGGAAAGGAGATAGCTGCAGGGGCAGCAATAAATCTATTCACCTTTAATTAAAGTAGAATAAATGTTTGAATCAAACACATGTATAAAACAGGATATATGTAAATCAGGAAAAACAACACATGCTGTGCTTAAACAACTGAGCTGGCTCCTGGGTGAGCAGGAGAAAAAGACCCTCTAGCAAGGACAAATATATATATTTTTTACATTAAAAAAAAAAAGCAAGCTATTTTACAGAGAATTCCACAACCAAAAATGTAATTGCAAACACTGCCTTATGCTGCAGTGTCCCATTTAGGGGATTACTATAGTAATCACAATCTGCCCCAAGCAGCTCTGTCCCAGCATCCAAACACTGCATACGTTAGAAACAACATTCTTGTTCTCATAAAGAGAATTCTAATGTAACTTAATGAACTCTGTAAACAGAGCCTTTTAAAAGCCAGAGAGATCAGATCAAAAGGTCCCGCAAGTATCAAAAACAGCCTTGGTAATTTCATTTAATACATGCAGTTCAAAATACAAAATCCAAAAGACTGAATGTAAGATGAATTCTAAATTTTCTCAGGTATGCCAAGGGAGCAGATGGCTTCTGAATCCTAGAGATCCGCCAAAAGGATCAGAAAATTCAAATGTTACAGTGCTGGATTCTGTTCTTTTCACTTTTACAGAGAGACCTGTGTTTATATGCAATGTAACAGAGAAGGAAAAAAGGGCAATGATTATCTCTCTTGATACTATCCTTTCACAAGAAATTTATGGATCAAAACACGGTGTCAGTGAATGAGTTAATGTATACCATAGTCTAGAGATTCCTGAGATGAGCGAAAAGGAATGGCAACAAGCAGACACTAACACAGGTACTCCCGATGCAATCCAGTCCTAAAGCTACCCTTAACAGAAACTGGTCAAGCTATGCTTCAGGCATTTTAATATCTTCTCCACTGTTGTATATTATTCGTGTCCTTGGAAACTATACAGTGATGTGGAAAGCAAGTCATCTTTACAGATTTTTTTATTCTGTTTTCATTTTTCAAGGCAACTAACAGATTTCATTCTGCGTATCTGACACAGAAGAAAAACTACAATTAATTATGAACTAGAAGAAACCTCCTGAAAACCTGAAACATCTAAATAGAGATGCCTTAACTTAATCAAAGATTGCCACCAGCAACAGATGCAAAAAACAACAGATTGCAGACCTGCGTTTCAGGCCATAGCTAGAAAAATACACCTGCAGTGTGCAGTGTAAATACACTGAATCATGGCTGATAACACAGCATCAGTTACTGATACCTAACTGAGTAACAGCTCAGCTAGACTGTTACCAGAAGAGAGAGGTTCCTGTGCAGCATTTACCACCGATGCTATTGCTTTTAGGTACTGATGTGAACTAAAAATGGGAAACAGAAGGGAGAAAACACAAAAATGCACCTTCACACTGCAAAGGACAAGAACAGCCACCTCCCTCCCTGACAACTTCAGATCAGCTGGAAGCAGGAACCTGGCTCCCAAGCCATGAAATGCATCTCTAGTCCTTCCTTTTTGGGGATGAAGGGAGGAAGGTGACACTGGTGTGCCAATGGCCATCTTTATTTGCATGTTCCCTGTGTAGCTATGGATTGCCGTGACTGGTAGCATTTTAATCTCACTGCAGCTAGGCTAGGTCCACAGCAGGGCTCAGAGATGATGGGAAAGGATGGGAAATATGATATGAAAGGGAATGAAAAGGAAGGAGAGGGCATCACACATATGGCAATAAACACCTGTGAAGTGCTACGTGTCGAGAAGGGACGGGGAGAAGGGGGTTGTTTTTTCCCTCATACCTTGCGTTTCCGATCTGCCCTAGAGATTTTTCGCTGCTTTTTCCTCTCCTTCTCAAGGTTTCTCTCTCTCTCTTCAAGTTCAGACTCTCGAACTTTTTTAATGGAAGCAGCTGCATGAGCCATTTTGGAGAGGGAAACACCAGCTCCAAGGAAGCCGTTTCCACCACGCTCGGATATCCAGGTGATTTATTTTTTCTGCAAGGGCGCTGGCTGCACACCAGAACTTGCTGTGCAATCCACTCTTGCTCCACCGACACCCAGAAAAGGTTAAGGCTCAGCCCCAGCCTCTGCAGCACCCATAATTCAGCACAACTTCAACATGCTCTGAATCAGAGCCACATCCACACATGCAACGTGTGAAAGTGCTCGCAGACACACACTCACAATCCGAGAGCAACTAGCAAATATCTGGTAGCAGGCTGAAACCTCTTCAGCTTGGCTGTGACTGCAAGCGAAGGCAAGCTTCAGACTTAGCCAAGGAAAAAGAAAAAAAGAAAAAAAGTCAGCCTTTAAACACACATCACCAAATTGGAAAGGTCTTTGGGGACTCCTCCAGATAGGCTGTGTCTTCTGACTAGAAGGAAGGATCCACTTCAGCATAACCACCAGCGGGGGGAGGGGGCAGCTCCTTTCAGCTCCTCACATCGTCTTTATGCAGGGCGAGAAGAAAATGGTGCAGTCTCACTTACTGACTTGCTGCTGCTGCGACTGTCTGCGCTACAGCCTGGCATATGCCTTCCTGCACCTTCTTCCTCTCCATCTTCCTGTATCGTCAAGTCGGTGGATAGTAAAACAGGAGCACCAGCTGCTGGGTTCAGAGGAGACCCGCCTCAGCCTGCTCACCTGCAGGCAGCGACCGCCCTGCTACGGCGCCTCCGGAGAGCCAGCCTGAAATGTTCAAGTGCTCATTGTGCCTTCACGCAGCCACGTGAGGCTGCATCAGGAGAGCTGCATTAAGCAGCGAACCAAACGCAGCTCTGAGGGGGACGCTGCTAAGGAAAGCACACAGCGTAATCTGGGCTCAGCCTGCCCGACTCAGCCCAGCTCCACAGAGGAAAAAATAATACCACAGAGCATGCTGTTTATTATTCAGTGCCACAAGCTGCTTTCAGATGTTTGCTTCAGGAACTTAGGAAGCCCTATGTTAAAGATGGAGAAGAATGCTGTTGTGGATCAAGAGAGACCAAAGAGACAGAGAGAATATCTTTGTCTCTTCCCCATCTCCCCCTCCCAAAAAAAATGATGTGCTCTTGAGACAGCTTTAACATATCAGAGCCAGCTGGGACTGCCATTCCCTCATTGCTTATCCCCAGCTAAAACCAGCATATAAAAGCTCCACTCCTACCTGCCTGGGCATCTCTGTTATCACAATGAGTGTTAACCTTTTATTTATCAAAATAGGACGCTCAAAAACTGCTAGATGTACGCAAATGAAAAGAGCCTCCGCGTTGGACCCTGCTGGACAACTGATCACATTTCAGCTCCCTCCAACACCACTCGCGAAGCCTGCTCCCAGCAGGTCCTGAGGGTGAGGACTGCTGCACTCGGATGCAGTAGAGATGTTTGCAGCGCTGGCTTCCCCATCCCAGAGAAGCCAGGCATATGGCAGCTCACTGATGACGGCATTAAAAACCACCAAATCAAAAAAAAAAAAAAACAGTTATTTGTAGCCAGATTTATCTCTGCAATATCTTTCTTGATTTCAGAACAAATTTGACTGAATGGCTACTAAAGCTGAACACTGTGAATTACATTGTAATGAACTACCACCAAAACTGTAACAGATGTCTTGGGAGCTGCTCATGTGACAACGGCTCACAGATGGGGACTAATGCCGACCTCAAAGTATTTCTGTACCTACAGAACTTGGGTATTACCAGTTCATGTAGATCAAGGCCATTTATTGTTCCCAAGGAACACATCACTATTGATTGTGGTGTTACTACAAGATTTCACTTCAAGAATTTCACAAATATTGAAGACCAGATTTTCACAAAGTACTTGTACATGAAAACTACAAAGCATTACCTATTATTGTACAGGTTGAACTCTAAACGCTTTATTATCCCACCTGGGCATCTGTTGAATCTCATGAGTTATGTATTTGGTTTCTACATTGAGAGTACAGGCATATCTAAAACAGGCATCTATTTTATGTTTGACCCCGTCATCTGTGCATTCAATCTAAAATATATTTCTCTAGTGGAAGAAGATGAAAGAAGAAGCAGGATTCAGAGCGTCAGCCACCCTCTTTTTCAGCTCCTCCACACACATAGGCTGATTTTCTCCTGTTTGTTTCTGGCTACACTACACCAATGACTAGAACACAAGTAGTAGCAGCAACAAGAGCCATCAGCAAAATGAGACAGTTGGAGGCAACTAAACAAGTAAGATAAAGGAGAAAATTGCATTCTTTACTAGGACCGCAGCTTGCCTTCCCCACTTATTATTTGAGGCAGCTCAAAGACACCCTGACTTTTAAACCAGAAGAGAGCAGCTGATAATCTAGAACTCCACTTTTCTGCTGCAATGAGAAACTAGCCATCTTCCTACATCTGCAGCTTGTTCAGAAACATATATTAAACTCTTAACACGTTCACTGACACGTGTACTGCAAATAAAATAAAGATCAAAGTAGAGAAAGGTAAAATAAAACATATTAGGCTACTAACTATTCAAACTGTTCCGCAGACATTTGGGGTGCTCAAAGAATGACACTAAAGGAAGGGAACTGATTTCAGCAAATTTTGAATGCTTACCTGGTAAAACAACCTTTTTGCTAACAGCAACCCTGAAAATACAGGCCAAATCACAGGCCAGCACTCTTAAAAATCCTGGCCTTATGATTTTCCTAAATCATGGTTTAGGGTTTCCTTAATTCCCTAAGCCCCCGAACGCCTAAATCCTGATACGTCAAGCACACATTAGAGCTGAATGCACAGGAGGGTTTATAGGAGTTATGTTTATTAAACAATTTGTCATCTTTTGGCAATAGATACCCTGCATGCTTATCAGCCCAGGTAATTTTTTTTTTTTTCAGAAAACTCACTCAGAAGTCAATGAAGGACTTGATGTACTTTATAACCCATTGCTGGAAGAGAGGAAAAAAATCAGATGAGTGATTTGAATAGCTTGTGCCAAGTAAGATAAAATAAAATAGCAAATAGTCTTCATAAGATCGCTGACAAAGAACTTCAGACCAGTTCTATGAGTTCACCATTATGTACCATAAACATCTTCCTCCTAACCTCAAAAAGGCATAAAAGTATTTTTCATCATGTGCCACAAAAGAATCTTTCAATAGATTATTTCGGAAAGAACATATCCAATCTGCGGAGAAAAATATGAAGTATATATCACTTATACTTGACACAGCTACTGCCCCTGCAGGAAAGAAATATTCTGTTTTAAGATGGAGAGATTTCCCTAATGAAAGTAGAAAATGACTAGTCACTGCCCTGTGTATGCAGCATTTTACTGATCTTAACAAAAAGAAATTCTGCTGCAGACATCAATCAGAAGATTGAATTTTCACAATCTGTTCAATAAATATGGAGGCTGACAATTTTCCTCTAAACATAGGAACGTACTGTGAAGCTCCTGCATAAGAAAAACAGAATATACTGTGATTCTGCCACAAACGGTATGTAGGAGGGGAGTGGGAGAGTGGGCAGATGCACAAAAACATAAAAAGAACACAACATCAGAAAAGGTGGTTTTTTTCTGTAATGCATTTGTCATCATTAACTCTGAATGTAGAAACCAAATACATAACTCATGAGATTCAACAGATTCCCATTCGGGATAATAGAGCATTTAGAGTTCAATCTGTGCAATATTCTGCATGATTTGTGAACAGGCTCTGAGTGAATAACCTCATCAGGTGACCAACAGTTGCATGGATACTTAATTAGGTTACAGGTCTGATTTGCTTGGTTTACAAATTGGCATAAATCATTAACTTCCTGACCTGATCGCCTCATTTCATGGTCTCTAGGTTTGGTTGTTTTAACCTGACCCACCAGCTGAGACAGTAAGCTCCTGCACTGCAGTTCTTTATTAGCCACAGCTATGATTAGCACTTGGCTTTGACTGTCAGCTTCCAGGTAGAGAGACACGGGGACTACACAAAGTAGCATCTTCTGTCTAGATAAACCTACCGGATGAAAACCAGCATTAATAGAGTAAAAGAGGAGGAGGATGTAAACAAGTGATCATCTTCCTTGAGGAAGTATCTACTAACAGGGGGCCATTCTCATAAGGATGAGGTTCTCTTCACATAAATCATGTGGGCACTGCCCAAAAAAAAAAAAATAATACTAACCCTAGAAATAATGTAAAAAAGCAGAAGTGACTCAAATCTTTTCTTGTCATTTCACAGAGTTACAGAGACAGGAGGAAAAGATTAGTCTTTCATGCCTCAAAGCCAGAAGAGAGCTCTTTCTTTCCAGATCTAAGCTGCTAGCTCATTCACGAGGTAGGCTAGAATACAGAACTGGTTTCAGACAACAGCTACTAGTGGGAAAGGGATGTCCCAATGTAAAAACAGAGTAGTTAGGTAGGGACAAGAGCTGGGCAATACAATTTTTTCTGGAAAAGGCAGAATAGAATTCTTCATGGGATTTAGATTCCCTCCAAAGTACGACACAACGCAAGCCTTGTGCAGATGTCTAACAAGCACAGCTACATGCTATTTTACTGTACCCTTGCAATGACAACCTGGGCAGTGATTTATACTTCTCCTCCCTGCTGAAAGGTAGAGTATATGTCAGACCAGACTTGGAGATATGAACGCGCAGCTTTTAGTGGCCTAGAACCAGAGAACGCTCACTTGCAGAATTAGCTCATCTCTACCCACAAAGATGTCATCCTGTCCTCAGCATCATTATTCCAACAGGGTTAAGCGTCAGAGACAGACATCTTTCTCCCTGTGGTCTGGAAACGCCTCTATGAACACTGCCTCTTGAGGAATGAGTATGGAGGAGAAAGAGGAAGAGAGAGAGAGAATTTCTGATCAGGACAAAATATCTTGGAGATCCAGAATACTATAACAATGTTTTTAACTTAACTATTTAAACCGATTCAGATGGATTGTGCATATCAGCATAATCAGTCATTTAAATAATTACAGAACTACACATTCCTAGAATAAAAGACAAAATTATTCTTTTGGAAAGTAAAAACACAAAGCTAACTTTGAAAATATATCCTGTATTTATAAATTACCTTCTTCGCCACTTATTGTTTAATTCACACTTATTTATTACTTATACACAGCCATTGTGCTATTTTTAAGATTATGATATTCCTGCAAGTGAGTGAGCAATCAAATATACATACTATATAAATTTCATTTTATACTTTTCTGAAAGCGAAAATATTACGGTTAAAAAAGCTCTACTCTCTCCTGTTCCCATATTACTGAATATATAAACACAATGTGTTCCAGAAAGCTCTAAAAGTTAGTATCAAAAATTATATATGAAACTACAATCTAGCCTTTTTCCTGCACTTTGATTACATTCATTTTATTAATTGAAGAGGAAAAAATACAGAATATGAAATGAAAAAGGTATTATTAAGGGCAAGTTATGGCACATATATTAATATGCTTACATTAGACTAGTCTTAACTGCTTTCCTTCCTTTTCTATGATATCACCTGGGTATAATTCACAGCACTGACACTTTTAGCAGTCAGCACTCAAAACATATTACAGATCACACACTAGCAGCTGCAGTTGCATACCCACTCTTGCACCTTGGGCTTCTGTCTTGAAGGCATTCCATTCAATACTGACAGAAATCTTCGACGTAATAACCACACTAAAAAAAAGATCCTGCTTAGCTACCTCCACCTTGACAGATTTATTTAAAATATTACTCTA